AAAAAAAGGTCTACTTCTAGAATATGCAATGGCACCCTGATAATGGTGGCAAAGCAAAATTATCCGTAACTTTCAACCTTGACTTAAACGTATTCATCAATGTAGACCCAAACAAAACTCTGATGTACTGAACCAACTCATAATCCACATTAGTCCTTAAACTATGTTGATCCATCAAAGATTCGATAGAACCTTGTAAGACATATAATGGAGACATTTTCCGTCCTTGCAGCACAATATGAGCACCTCTACAAACCTTTAAAACTCCACTTTCACCAATGAATTTGACCCTTCCTATACCAGTCGACAATGTGCAATATTATTGGTCACAACACCTTTGGAACTTCTTCATATGTTGTAAATGAATCCCAATTATGATACATATGAAAATTGCAAGTCGTATCAAGAATCAAATCCTCTTCAAGTTTGGAATCGCTGTTAGAAATCACCAAAAGATATCCATCGTTCTGAAAAGTTTCTCCAACACTGGCTTCACCTGAAGTATCTAATTGATTTTCCTTATGATTAGTTGCAGCCAATTTTTCTTTATTCTACAACTTATAGTAATTCTTAACCAATTGCCCTTTCTTCTTGCAATAATTACAAAATTTATTTGTGAAGTTAGACCTCAATTTGCTCATTCCAAAACCACCATCACAATAAAGCCATCCCCATGAGCTTCAGTTCGAATGAGATGCTTCATCCTTTCTTTTGAATAAAGAGCTTAATAAACATCTTCAATGGTGAGAGTATCACGACTATATAGGATTTTCCTCTAAACGACATATATAAAGCAGACAACAAACACAACAAAATCAAACTCATATCTTCTTCATCATATTTAACCTCCAGGGTTTCAAGATCAACAACGATTTCCTTAAACACAGCTAAGAGATCTTCAAGAGATGTATCTTCTGTCATACGATGAGGATAAAGGCGCTACTTCAACTGCAATTTGCTAGTAAGACTCTTCGTCATGCAAAATTGCTCTAATTTTAACCATAATGCAGCGGTGGACTTCTCCTTCAAAACGTCATGAAGAATGTTATTCGAAAAATGAAGAAGAATTTATGATATGACATTTCGATCCCTACGTTGTTTCTTTTTCTAATTCCAAGTTGTAGGCATCTTGTCAAACCCCAACAACGTTTCGTCCAAATTCATTTGAGTGAGTATTGCTCACATCTTTATATGTCACAACGAAAATCTTATGCTGTAATCCAAAAGCAGAATATCATATTTCATAGTTGCTATCCCAAAAATCAAAAAATCTCCCTATGAATAAAGGCTTAGCTCTGATACCAGTTTGTTACAAATAACGAAGAAAATACCAAATAATTTTGATAACAATTTGTTGTGATAATAGGTGAGAAAATAATATAACACAATATAAAGTAATTGATCACAAACTCAATAATAAAATAATTGGTAGATGAATGAAGATTCACTAAAATATGGAGAAAGAATTACAATAATTTTATGTTTTTTATTTGTCTAACTTAATCTAAAATACAATGAAAAGCTAACTATATATAGGGGATATGTCAAACCTTAAAAGTAGAGTTATAAATGAAATAGAATGCAAAAAACATATTGAAAACAGATTTGGAGGCCAAAACGTCGCATCCTAGGCGCTACCCAAGCATCGCTCCAACGCAGGGGTAGGCGCCCTGACGCTAGGTCGCTGAAATTAATTCTTCAACACGTTTTTCTTCATTTCTTTGTCCATATCTCGATATCTTCAAATTCAATACAAATTCTAACTCCCAATAGGGCTTCCAAATAGAATTTCAACTTGAATTTGTCACATGGACTTCGAATAAGATTTCAAAAGCATTCCAACAAATAGAATTCTTCTTTATGTCGATTTTAATTAGAATTCTCAGTTATCTTCAAAATAGAATTTGAATCACACTCTAATTCGAACACTTATTGTGTGACAGAGTTCTTTTATAGGCCTAGACATACAATCAAAGTTTGCCGAATTTATTTCCTTGTCTTTCTTTCCTCTATCTATATAAACACACAAACATTCATAAATCAATAACCATTTTACATAAATTCGTTTCTTATATTTACTCACCTCCAAAATGATCTCGTGCATATATAATATGGGATGGGCCCAACTTGTGGTGAATTCACGAGCTTTGATTCTAGATGATATGGGATGGATTGCATTTCTACCATCAACTATAACTTTTGAGAGAAAAAGACGAAAATACCCTACATTAGGTTCTTATCGAAGGTGGAGTTCCTATGTTCGAGTTCAATGTTAGAGAATTCCCGTGGATGGGTCATAAAATAGGAGCATGCTTGAAACATGGGGAAATATTTTGGGTAAAGTGATGGCAATACCATATATCGGATTGGCACCAGAGCTCGAATTTTCACGTTGAAGTCGATTTTGGGGCATTCCCTTGAGTAGGGTGGATAATATTAGAACATGCTTGAAACAGGAGAGAGAGACGGGGGTGAATTTTTGGACTCGCCATCATCAAGTATAGCTTTTGAATTTGTAGAGGAATTACGAGGAGGTTATTTTTCTTATCCTTTCACAAACTAGTATGAGAAAATAACACGAATTTAAAGAACCTGCGCAAGAATGGACTATCCATGTTTCATTGCAAAATAGTTACAATCATCCTCACTTTCTCTATAATAATAAAGAAACTTTACAAAATTATAATCAATTAACATGTTACTATAACTTTAATTATAAATGTTTTAAGTCTAGCTAAAGGGAAAATAGACTTCCATTAAGGAGACACAAGGATAAGAATAAAAAATAAATAAAAAATAAAAGTCACTTTACGTCATCATCATAACCATTATGTCAGTGGTGAATTCGTTTTTCTTTCTTTCTTATTATTTTATAATTGATAGTTCAGTCGTAGGTTACATTTATAACCAAGTGTTCATAATTACTGTCCTCTCCATTCTTGCAAAATATAAAACTCTTTATTCTGATTGATTAAATATAAAAGTTACTTTTAAATAGTTTTTTTTTATTGTATTTTCAGTATTTACTCTAAGTCCATATAAGTAATTTAGCCCTTCGGGTATCGATGTGAGAAGTACGACTACAAGCACACAAGGTTTCGGGTGGGGTTTTTCCGAGAGTGGTAGGAGCAAGAAAGTATCGTTAAGATGATTAGGAGTTTCTCATAATCCTCGTTTCCTCTAATCCTCGTTTCCGAGAGTGGTAGGAGCAAGAAAGCACACAAGGTTTCGTTTCCTCTAATCCTCGTGTTTAAAAGTATCGTTAAGATGATTAGGAGTTTCTCATAAAAGACGATATTATCGTCTTTAAATCAAGTAAAATATTACGTCATTGTTTGATGGAGATTAAAATCAGATTTTTAGCAGATTTCGATAAAAGTTGATGAAATTTGTGGATATAAAATAATGGGTCCAGTAAAATATTTGATTAAAATTCATTATTGATTTTGATTTGAAATTTTTAATAGATTTTAATCTATACCGAAAGGAATGTGGTTTCACTTTTCAAAAAAAAATCAATAATTAGCCATTGGAAAGGTATTTCAACCATCACAATTTCTCATTGTTTACATGAACTTATTATTAGAATTGAAGGGCGGCCATTATGGAATAGTAGAATTCCCTGAAAATAGCCAAAAATATATAATAAAGCATCATAACTAATAAGGTGGGTCCCAACCATTCTGATCTCTTTACTATTTATTATGTCTATAAAGTGAACAGGTGTTCATCTAACACTAGCATTTAACATCATCTTTATAATTATTTTAAGGACCTTTGCTATGGGTTCCTGTACCTACAGGATACACACAAAAAATTTCCTGTATCTGCAGCTTAATTCTTACAAAAAATAAGGACTAAGGAGTATGAGTCATAAAAAAAATCAAATTAATTTTAATTTTTCTCTTTTTCTCTCGCATTTTAACAAAATCATAACTCTCTATCAAACAAGAGAGAAATATTGCATTCTTAATATCATTTCGAAGTGTTCACGGTCTAGTTTTCTTTGTCTTTAATGACGTACGAAACAATCAAATTTCAATAACATGCTAATTTTAAAAAAATTTCGACGATCGTACATTAATCTAATCTACAAATTGCTTATGTCATCTCAAAACTTATTTCGAGAATTACATTATAGGCATATCAAATAATCCCAACTGATATCGAAAATAGTTAAAAATACATTAAACGTGAGTTTCAAAAGAAAAGCGTTCGTATTTTCTTTTTAAAAATTCAATTATTTCATTAACATTTATTATTTTTGCAATAAAAATTTCTCAATATAATTTTCACAATTTTTTAAATTTTACATCTGAAAAAATCACATCCTATGTAAATTTTCGGATGCAAAATGACATGATGTATGATTTTTTTGACGTAAATTTTCGATTCTAAAATTTTTCCAAATTTCTTTGCAAGTTCGATTGTGCCCCCCAACATTAAACTTCTGCATCCGCCCTTGTGTATGACCAATCATAATGGCTTCAGATGAGGGATATTGTCTTATCAAATCTCTTCAAACTTATTATTTTGTACCCCTTTCATGTATATCACTAAATTGTAGGTGTTACGTACTTATAGTTTCGTATTTTTCAATCAAAATGAAATATTTCTATCGAAATAGAACCGTACATTCAGAATAGTCCGCTTTCTGGCCTGCTCTTTATTTTGTACACTACACTTACTCGTTATTGCTATGCAGATAAGCCATCCACTATACTAGTGACGTAGGGAATTCGCATAGGATAAAACAACACTGTCTTAGATACGAATCGAAACATGATAGAAAAAAAGGTTAAGATGTTTGTATAATTCTTAAGCGGAACCATCAAAGACGTGTATTATTCTATAAATCAGGAACAACATCATGTTTCTTTTTCCAGTGGCTTTTCCAGTGTAATATATACAAACCCTTTTTCACTTTAACTAGATTTTCCATATTCTTAAGCACCTATTAGCTGGGGAAAAATGGCACTGCCTCATTCAACAATAGCTAGTTAGTAACATTCTACCTCTAACCACGATTCGTCACTAATTCTCCGGTCCCGTCCGACATCAACACGGTCAAGAAATTTCTCGTAATGGCCCACTTTCCAGGAGCTTCCCAGATTTTCAGCTTCAGAAACACGCAAGCACCCCAAGTTCTGAAATTGAAATTGAAATTGAAGTTTTACCAGTCAAGATGCTATGCATGCAAACATGTGCATAGAGAGTTTTCCAGAAAGTTCTGCACAAAAGTACAGCTCAGCTTGCTACAGTTTTAAAGGGCAGACAACATTCTCAGGGATTTTGTCTACAAATCTTACTGACTTCATTAAAGAAACTGAAGCTAGCATCAGCATCTGCACGGCCTTCAAGAAACTTGAAAGGGCATGAAAACGAGCATCTATTACTAAATATAGTATCAGACACCTACTTTTCTTACACCTGCACATCATATCATATAATATTTGTGTGGCTAACCTAGTTAATTGTCGGCTAAATCCCCTATCACCCTATTGGTGATCGCCAAGCACAGATGCTTTGCTTCTTTATCCCATTACAGGAAAGGAGCGACTACTATTTATTCTTTCCCGCCCGAGGACAAATGATATTCTAAATCAGTGGTGACATCGACTCTTTGGATCACATTAATGCGAATTGGTGAGAGGTCGACTCAATGATTTGACGACCCCAAAAAAGATTTTCGTTACAAGTCAGACCTAGAACAACGGAAAATGAACAGCCCATAAATTTGAAAAGGATGATGATGAATAAATAATAAGGGATTTATTAGGTAAAATTCATGTAAATTTTGCTGATTCTTTATGAACTGATGCTTGACGTCATTGCATAAGTCACCCACATGACTTCTAACATTCACAATCCAGTAAGAATTAAAAGAATATAAAATATTTCTTTCTTTCTTTCTTCACCTAACTTACAGCTTAACTAACAAACATATAAAAATGCTGAAGCTAAAGCAAGATTGGCTCTCCAGGTGCAGCATTCACGTCCACATGTATTTAATCAAATAATATGTTAAACTCAGCATCCAAGAGTTCGACGTGGAACATCAGAGAACCAGAAATGATAATTTATGACTCGGAATTTGATGAAAGAATAAATATTAAACAACCAGTCCTGTACATCAGAAAGAAGATGAACCACAAAACAAGATATGAAAATGGAGAAAATGACAATTCTACCTTTCGTTTCTTCACATAAAAGTTCAATACTAACAACCTCGTTTGAACAGAATATCTGGAAGAGTATCAGCCAGCCATGCAAAATTCGTCATTCACAATTGAGAATCCACTTGGTAATGCAAAGGCAAATTGACTGCATAAAAAATGAGCAACATCTTAAAGAAATCTCAACCTGCAGTGTGAAACCTAATAAGGAATACAGGCACGAGAAATATATTTTGATGACCAGAAATGCATATGTTTTTATTTAATCATGTCTAGCATCAGAAAGAGGGAAACGCCATAAACATATCCAATGTATGTTATTGAAGGATAATTGATCCAAGCAAAAGTGGACTTTAATGCTTAGTCTATACCTACTGACATGGACTTCAATTAACAGGGAAAAAAAAAGATGATTACACTAAAATAAACCTAGAAACAGCCAATGATCCGGTATTAATTCTTATAAAGCGTGTAACAGTACACATAATTTTTTTTTTTTTTTAAATGCACTTGATATAGGTGATACTGAAATAAACTCGAATAAAATTGGAGATAGTAAAAGAAAAGAACATATAATGCAATTCTGTCCAACAGAGTTTTTACATCCGTGTTACCAGGCCGAAGGAAGCATTTTACATTCAATACATTAGACAACTAGACAACTGACAAGTGATACAACTACAAGACATTTGAATACATAAACCTATATTCATAAAGAAAGATTGATGAAGTAGATGTTTTTTTTTTTTAAATGCACTTGATATAGGTGATACTGAAACTCGAATAAAATTGGAGATAGTAAAAGAAAAGAACATATAATGCAATTCTGTCCAACAGAGTTTTTACATCCGTGTTACCAGGCCGAAGGAAGCATTTTACATTCAATACATTAGACAACTAGACAACTGACAAGTGATACAACTACAAGACATTTGAATACATAAACCTATATTCATAAAGAAAGATTGATGAAGTAGATGATTTTTTTTTTTTAAATGCACTTGATATAGGTGATACTGAAACTCGAATAAAATTGGAGATAGTAAAAGAAAAGAACATATAATGCAATTCTGTCCAACAGAGTTTTTACATCCGTGTTACCAGGCCGAAGGAAGCATTTTACATTCAATACATTAGACAACTAGACAACTGACAAGTGATACAACTACAAGACATTTGAATACATAAACCTATATTCATAAAGAAAGATTGATGAAGTAGATGATTTTTTTTTTTTAAATGCACTTGATATAGGTGATACTGAAACTCGAATAAAATTGAAGATAGTAAAAGAAAAGAACATATAATGCAATTCTGTCCAACAGAGTTTTTACATCCGTGTTACCAGGCCGAAGGAAGCATTTTACATTAAATACATTAGACAACTGACAAGTGATACAACTATAAGACATTTGAATACATCAACCTATATTCATAAAGAAAGATTGATGAAGTAGATGAATGTTCCATGTATAACAGATGAGAAATATTCTAGTTTAACATTAACATTGTAATGAGCCAAAACATAACATCAAATCCATATGCAGAGACAATGAAGAACGGAACAATTCCAAGGTTATACGGGCAATGGATGTGAATTATCACAAAAAATTCCAAGAGATAATGTTCAAAAATCAATTGATGGAGGCATGTATTTGCCCATTTGACAGATTTCCCTCAGTCATTAACACCTATCTGGCTTCATCCGAATAACAATAGAAATCTGAGGGAAATGCTAAGATACAACTCAAACAACAAACTAAGCCTTGTTACACTACAAGTTGGGGTCGGCTACAAGAACCTTTTCCGTCATTTAGATGCTAAAAAAGAGGGCACTTACTTAAACAGCTATACACATTCACTAAATGTCATAGGAAGTATGAGAGAGAAAATAATGGTCTTAAAGACACACTGACACCATAAAACATCTCACTTCATGCTCAGATCGAATAACTTCCTTCTCCAGTTGCTGCTGCTAGTCATAGTTGGAAAAGCCAAACTATGAGTATAACTAGAAATATGGATAAGGCCTGTACATCGCCCAAATACCGAGAATTTTAACCATGTTTCTATGAGTCACTGACAGCATGGAATATAATGAAGCATCACATTAAAGTTTCAGATTGAAATAGAACTAAGTTTCTTACTGACAAATTTAATAGCCAACGAAAACGCAACGTCTCCTAAGAAAAAAAAAATAGCAACAAAAATACAAGAAGATTCTCATACAAAGTGAACAAGGCTGAAATGTTGCCAAAAATTATGGCGAAGACTGAATCGACTAGATCTCACCACTACTCCTGCAGGCGTTACTGACAGAGCTGCTCGACAGCAGCAACAATCTGTGCTGGTTGAACCACGGTCCATTCCTCCAATGTCCCAGCATAAGGAGTTGGCACATCCTGTGAGGAGAGACAAACAATTGGTGCATCCAAATAATCATGGAAATTCTCATTTATTGCTGCTGTAAGGCTGGCCCCAATGCCGCCTGTTCGCATGCACTCTTCAACTATAAGCACCCGGTGAGTTTTCTTAACAGAATTTCCAATTGTGTAGAGATCAAATGGTTTCAAAGATCTAATATCTATGACCTCCGGATCATAACCTTTGTTGACAAGAGTCTTGGCAGCTTGCATGACATGGTACCTCATCCGGGAATATGTTAAGATTGTAATGTGCTCCCCAGGCCTCACCATCTCTGCCTCTTCCAATGACAATACATATTCTTCATCAGGAATTCTCTCCTTGAGGTTGTAAAGAAGCACATGTTCAAAAAGGACAACAGGATTCTCACTGCGGATGGCAGCCTTCATCAGACCCTTGGCATTGTAAACAGTTGAACAGGCGACCAACTGGATCCCTGGAATTGACTGAAAGTAAGATTCCAGTCTCTGCGAATGCTCTGCCCCAAGTTGGCGCCCAACCCCTCCTGGTCCTCGGATGACTGTTGGAATAGTGAACTGTCCACCTGAGGTGTAGTGTAACATACCACAGTTATCAGATATTTGGTTGAAAGCCAATAGAAGAAATCCCATGTTCATGCCCTCAATAACTGGTCTTAGACCAGTCATGGCTGCCCCAACACCCATGCCTGTAAAAGAATTCTCAGCAATTGGTGTATCAAGCACTCTGAGATCTCCATATTTCTCAGCAAGTCCCTTGGTGACCTTGTATGAACCTCCATAATGCCCTACATCTTCACCAAAGACACAGACCCGAGGATCTCTATCCATTTCTTCCTCTAGCCCTTCTCTAAGGGCTTCAAACAGCAAGAGCTCATGCCTACACGTGTAAAATAATCATACAAGACTTTTCCAAGAATTCAATTATCCAGACTAAAGACACGTTTCAATACATGAGTGGCATTGCAGGTTTTAGAAAATAATATCCAAAAACCATATAAACGTGAATCTGCATGTCAGCTTAGTAAAGTTCATTTCTTACTTCTGCTATGGTATAAACATAGCATTAAATAACACATGGAGATTAGACCACTATACAGATAACAAAATAATTCCAACCAGAACAAATCTGCCCCCTACCCACCTAGTTGGGACCTCTGTTAGTGTTACGGGTTGCAAAGTAGAGGGCACCAACATGAGTTAAGATACATAGTGCACCCTGATAAAGCATTAATGCAGTTTCAAGTACTGTACAATAACGTTTAAGTTTTTGACCTCATCGTAGTATCTTTACAGCCTTCTCGAATAACACAATAGAGCCAACAAATTTGGAATAGTATGAAGTTAACTTGCTATATTATGTGTTGCATTGATTCTTTCCAAGGAATAGAAGGGATCAAATAGGAAAGAATACCCTGAATCACAGAACTATAATGAAATATACGATCAACCAACATTTATTGAATTTGAAAATGAGTCCGCTCAAACAATCTCCGACCATTTTAGGTACAAACACTTCCCACATTGACTACAAAGCTTTGACTTGTTTCACAAGAAAAAGAATGTCTTTAAATATCTTTAGAAACTTCTTGCAGTTTTGACTTTATTAGAAGGGAGTTTATATCGATTCCTTTACAAAAATTAGCAAACATATTCTTCTCAGACTGTTGCTTTGCTCCCATATTTAATAAGTTCTTCACTGATGATAAGAAGCCTGAAGGTACAAATTATATTGGCCCATCAACTCTAAATAACACACTGACATTAGTATAGTACCTTATTCTTATGTAAAATATTTAATTGGCCTAGCACAAAGAATTATTCAGTTCACTTTCTTCATTCCCAAGCTCAAAGAGAATGCAATAGTAATCAACTAATCTTGTTAACCCAAACAACTAATCCTCTCCATAACCAAAATAAATTTTTGGCGGGACTACCATAAATACTAGGAAGATTTCGAATTCTCAGCTTGGTTAATACACTTTACAACTTCATTTATAACCTATTTTCTCATTTCTCCACTAGGTTATCATGTTCTCTAACTTCTTGAAATGGCTATCCAGATTTCTTTAGTTTCTTCTACTTTTGCTCAGACTTCACTCTTTGTGCACATTCAGATAATTCAAATCCCAAGTTTATAGATTTAATTTTAGAACCTTTATCTATTTTGTCCTCCATCAGCTGTGACTCTTGTGACTACCACTTGAAAATGGTATCAGGCCCTTCAAGTTTAGACTGGGGCATTAATTTCTCAAATTCACTTAAGAATTAGGAAAATATGGAACTATACTTCCACCATATTTGAGCCACCAGTACTCCATGAAACTTAAACACCCCGTCTGATCTTAGTGCAATCTAGACTCTTCCACAACCAATCTAGAACATTTGATGGAGACAAATTCCACCAACCATCTAGAGCGAGTAAGCTTAAAAAGCACCAGCATTTTGAAAATGGCTATTGGAATTTTGAACAAAAAAATATTCTATATAACAGTCTTTGATATTCCTGAGTTTGCAGGAGCCTGCAGAGCCTCCCGTCTAGAATTTATTAACAAAAATATCTGGACCAGCATTGTAACCCTTTTGGGACCGTGCATTATATAATATACCAGTTGACCAAAAGGTTGGGGGATAGAAAATTGTTAAGTACTAATCCTTAGTAATATACCAAAACATCTAAGGGAAAGGTAGGTCAAGTGTTCAGGTGAATTTTAGAAGCTAGAAATGTGAAACTCAGAAGGCTTTCTCTGGAAGCCTCCTAATGGATCCAAACTAGATATCTGAACTTATACTCTATAGATCAGAAGAAAATAACACAGCGAATTGCTTCAATAAGTTAATAATTAGATCTATATCAATGCAGACCAATTAAAATCTAGTTTGGACATTGGCAAATCCCAAGCTTTGAATATGTTTCCACTTTCCAAGATGTCCTTGATATTGAAGACAACCTTCATTCAAGGTTGCATTAACACTTAATTATTTCAAAAGAATATCCCACTTGTTATCTCATTCCCTACTTCATTCATTGGTTTATTGTAAAATATACCTAAGAAACCTAGTGTCCCAAATTCATGAGCATTAACTAGTCATAGCTTCTAACTTATAGCAGCTGCAATTGATTCTTTATATTACCGAACAGATGTTAAAAGAAGTGAACTTCAGTATAGATGCACCATTTCTGGTATCTGATAGGATCCCCCGCTGCTGATGTGGATTATACTGATGCCTCAGATGCTGGCTGCTGCCGATCTAGGAGAAATGTTAGGCTACAGATATTGTAACAGGATTTTGATCTACTGAATTGGCTGATAATTGAGGCTTGTTACTGTATTGATTTGCTGAATTGTAAACAGATTTATTGAAATTCATAGAAATTGGAAATAGAAATTGAATGAACAATTTCAAGCATTCGAGAGGCTGGATTTCTCCTATTAAATTCAACCAACTACTCAATATTTGCATAACCATTCTGCTCCCTCTCCTATTACATTTATACTCCTGCTCCCCCCCTTATTCCCCAAACTACCCCTGATAACTAACTAACTGATATAAATGGAATAACAGACTTAGTTTGATCCATTGTAGCCTCAGCCATCTTAATAGGGGTCTATCAGTATCTTACAACGATCATTGTTAACTGTTAAGAGATGATTTTAGGTTTTATAACACAAGAGTGAGTTTTATATATACAAGTTATGCACCAAAAGTATATTAAATAAATGAGTATTATATGGGAAGAATGATCAAAGGATGCAAAAGGGAGACAAAATCATTCATATTACAAATATGCAATAAAAGGGCAAATGGTTGTTACACACAACCATACTTCACACCAGAATATCAATCTCCAAGTCTGTCTTTATAACATAAGAAATTACTAATCATTAAAACTCGTGGTTATAGGTATCTCATAAATAGAGTGCATTTTGTTTTCTGATATCTTTTTACCTACATAGAGTATAATCCTCATCACCACACTATCTCCATCTCTTACATCCTACCTTCAGGATTTCCAAGCTCATTGTCTCTTCTTGTGCCACGGTGGTGAGTCGGATTGTATCAGTACGTCATACCTTAAATAAATAACTCTACTGAGCAGGATATAAATTTTTTTCCCTAGAATTACGTGTTCGGGTTCTTGCACTTAGCAGCATCAACATTACACATATGCACGAATACAAGTGTTAGTGCAAGACATCACAAGCTGATAGAGATATGAGTACGAACTTACACACTACATTTAGGTTTAGAATGCATTTGTTGAATGTGCCTTCTTATCCATCATATGTTTATCTTGGGCTGTGCTAATCTAAATATAATGCAGATTGAAAAGTTGTATCTTCAAACCACATGGCAAAGGTTTATTAGGCATCCATACACGTTGTGGTAGGATTCACTATAATATCAAATTTGAAATTGTAGTAAAGTATAATTATGCATACTAATTTTTGTTTTGAAATTTGCACACCTGACACCACAATCACAAAATTGCAATCGAAATGTCAAGCATATAAGCAGAAACACACGTGGAAATACACTGGAATAAGCATATTCAAAAAATAAGAATTTTACCCAGGTTTAGAAGCTGCTGAAGCAGAACTCTCCGTCTGCGTCTGATGAATTCCACATATAACAAAATAGAACAGAGTATTTTATACATGAAAAATTAAAGTGAAAAACATTAAGAGGGTAAATAGAAGGCACTAACCGCAGTTGCTTTGGCGATAACCTTTTTTGGCTTGAAGCTTCCATGAACAGAACCAGAAACCGAAATCAACCTCGAATCGGATCTGATGACTGAATAAAAGAACAAAAGTTAAACAGAGAAATAAATATATCTAACGTGGATTGTAAAGCTAAGCTCAATAGAACATCACTTTCCTAACCCATGAATCAAAATCTCATCTTTTCATTGTTTCCACAACTAGTGGATCTTCACAATAACTTACGAAAATACATCCAAAACAAACCAACAAATTTATTTAAAAAAAAAAAAAACATAGTAAAAGAGAAAAATGAAACCTGGGAAAGATCGAATTGACGAAACAGAGAATTTATTGTAGTGATCCGAGAAGGAAACTGAAGGTGATGCTACTCCGATTGCTTGAAGCATGGAAGCCATTTTTCTATACAATACACAAAAAAAAGTTCTCTATAAAATGTGTATATGTAAAAGAGAAAGATAATGAGAAAAAACAAGGGGCTCCGCTGAGAGAGATTAAATAGGGAAGGTAATGAGAAAAATTTGAAAATGGAGGTGGCGGAGATTCAGAGGGGAAAAGGGAGGTGGCGATGAAACCAGAGAGGATTCACTTCTAGGTGAACTCTTTTTTATTAGATTTTATTTAGCAGCCTTTATTTTCATTATTTTCAAAAAATATTTTTTTGTCAAATTTTCAAACAAGCACTTAGGTTTGATGTGTAAGACTACATGAACGAGGTTTCCTGTGGAAATGAGAAGGGTGAAATTTCTTCGAATTTGAAGAATCTCGGATGAGTTCTCTGTCCACTGATTCACATACATACACCTATTGTTTTCGTCCATTTTTGTATCCACATATTAGATTAAGTTGTATACGTTTCCCTTTTTTGAATTCTGCAATGTAGGATGTTTGGAAGTAGAAGCGTGTTATACATCAAGTTTGTCATCCCCTGACACTTATGGAAGAATCTGTCGAGAAACAACGTCGGACTTGACGAAACTAACTGTTGTTCTTGACGGTGGAGTTCTGAAATTCTCGACAGTTGTATATTTGTAACGACGGTTTTCTTCATATTAAAAAATTGGTCCAGCTGATGTTATACATGTTTTATGAAGTACTTTGTCGACATATCATCATCCGACCTTTATTATTTTTCTATGTTGCTGGGTTATGTAGACGAAGTTCGAATGTGTTTTAGGATCAAATGAATGCAAACATCTCTCAGCACAGTAACATGAAGTACATAAAAACCGTGATCAACAAATTCGATGTTGTATAGAGAAATGACTTTCAGAATTCCTACCTAGGATTTGATAAGTGTGTTTTTACACACTTATCTTACTATTAAAATATGGAAAAGTGTTGATTAATATGTTGAAATATAACTTAATTTTATGTAATTTATGTTTTGCAAGATAAGTGATGAATGTAGCGAAAATAAGGAGAAACAAATGAGAAATGATCAAAATAGAAGAAAGTGAAAGTTCGGGGACTAAAGTGTAAATATTCTAAACTTATTTCTAGCCTTGTGATGAAGATTTAAGAGTGTTAGAGGTCAATTGGATGAAAAAATGAGTCAAAGGGATAAAACATAGCCAAAACATTATCATGTATCAACTTTCAAGCTGAAAAGTTTTACACCGATTTTCAGTCTCATATTGAGACCAGTTTTTGACACGGTAGATGATCGAATTTGAAGATGTTATCTAAAGAAAAGTTGTAGCCCTTTGAATTAGCTTTCCAACGCATTGTAAATCACCTCAGTCGAATATCGAAAGATGAAGTTATGATGACAATACTGAAAACATGTGCAGCTGCTTACAGGGGTGAGGCGCCCCCGCGCCACTGGAAGCATCAAAACTGATTTTCACCCGAAACTAGAGGCGCCCCCACGCCCAAAAGTGGCGCCCCTGTGCTGCGCCACGTAAATTAGGGTTCTTTTTATATTTTGGACCACGAGAAGCCTAGAAAAGGACCCCAAAAACATTTCATTCGGGACGACTCTTCATTCTACACCATTCATTCATTGATTTGGCTCAAAAAACACATGAGGAACTAAAACCCGGGTGAAGCAAGGAAGAAACTCATTGGATTCGGTGATTTTACATCAATTTGTTCATGTAATTGCTCTTTTCACCGCTAAACAATTCTGGAATTTAGACTTTCATTCTTATAAATTTATATTGAAATTAGTTTAATTTTTATTAGATTTTTCATGGATTCAGTCATGCTTTTTCTATTGTTTAATCGAAATATTTGTTGAGTCTCAATTTCATGAACCTATGTTGAGTTTGATTTAACTTTTACTAGATTAATCATAGATTCAGTCAGGCTTTTTCTATCGACTAATTGAGCTAATTGTTGAATTGTAATCTCAATTATTTTATTGGTGTGATGTCATTACTGTTTTGTGCTTGAAGTATATTGTCGATCTTTGAATCTGATTTCATTAAAATTGTGCGAATGCGTTATAGAAAGTCTAGATTTTAGAATTACTATTGAATTAAATTGATTTGTAATTATATATCTTCCGATTAGAGTGTCGTGACGAAAACCTCTAATTGAGTTATAAAATTGAATAATTGATGTGAATGATCCGATCCAGTTGAGGGAATTCCGACACTTCACTACCTCAAATTATTGATTTTAACTTTGTTACTTCAATATTGAATTTACTACAAATTTAAGAGGACAAATTCATTCTTTTTGGAACCTTTAAGCATGTTTTCATCTCCCTGTGGATACGACACTCCAAAGCTACACTACAACTACCGCGTTATTCTTTGGGCGTAATCAAGATTCCTGACAAATTTGCCAGAGGTGCAATTGGTAAGAATAATAAGTTGTGGTTCAACATAGAAGGCTACTTCACGTTGTTTGGATAGCAATAGTACACTATAGTGACAGAATTGAAATGCGGACGTATGCCTACTGGCAAAGATTTTGACAACGCCATTGGAAAAACTAAATTGAAGGACAAATAATTCAAATCTAGTGACCATGTCTTCTGCTCTGACCTTGAGAAAGCGTCTTCATCAGTTGACTACATGAGTCGAGTCTATCGTTACAAGCTTAGGTTGGCTTTAATAGTTGAAGGGGTTTGATTGCCCCCGATAAGAATGTACGTATCTATATGAGTACATTGTCGATAGTTGACAATTTGGACATGTTTTTTGATTACCCATGCGGTAAAGTAGGATTTCAACGTGTGATGAAGACTTTTCTTCGAGGTTGGTTGGAAAAAGTTGGGATGCAAGAGCCAAGAATAACAAGAAAATTACGTATACTATTTATGGATACCCAATCGCTCTTCAAGTTTAATATTATATTTTCACAATTTGTGTTTATTTTACTACACACATATAATTTTCCAAGGATCCTAAGCTGGATGACCACTAAACAACTACAATATCAGACGTACGAAGCATTTTTCAAGAACATGGAGGTCCTATATACTTCGACTTTGTTAGTTTTTTCACACTACATCTACTTTACCTAATCCTACACCTGCTAACTAAACAAGTATTGCATCTCCACGTTTACGCCACGCTTCGAGCTTTAGAGGAGGAGCAAAATTTGTCGCACATGTCCACACTCGTTCCTCTTGACGATGATGTCGAGGCACGGGTTCAAATACACAGTAATGACAACAGTGGATCATCGAAAGGTACTTATTACGAAGATAGGTCAAGTGACGACAAGAGCGGTGCTTATAGGTTTGGTGATAGTGACAATGACAGTGATAGTGGCAACAACATTAGTAATGAGTGGCGAACTCGAAGCTACACCGTTAAGGGATTACATTGGTATTGACATGGGTGTCTTTAACACACCACACAATTTCACTTATCACGGCCAATTCCATTTTCCATCTACCTCCCTAATTGAACCCCCAAGTTCAAATAGTACCATAATAAGAGAAGGCATTGAGAAACTATTTACATAACAACGAACGTTGTTCAAATAATGACTTGACATGTTGATGAACATTATCACAAGTCGTTTGAAAGTGCTTGAAAAAATAGCTGAGAATGAATGCAACAGGTTGAAAAACATATAGACTTCAATTTTGAGAAGGTTGAAAGCAAGTTCAATGAAATGGGATCCAGATTCAATGGTAACGCCACACTCATTAAAGTGTAGGCCAAAATTGTTAAGAATGAGGTTTGTCAGCAAGTTTCAACGGAACTTGCCAGCTTGAAGGAATTGTCCGCAGGCCCTTCGCGCAAGCAAGATTGCACTACCGGGGGTATTTATCTCTTCCTCCCATATGCTTGTACTGCTATGGTATTTGGCAATTGTTTTATGGTGATTTTCTTGCATTTCACTTCATTGACTGGTTCTAATGAAAGCTGTAGAGGTGAATACCCCTGGAAAATATAGATATACCAACCAGTAGCGTAGTAATGGAAGAGATAGGTACATCCTTTACAAGAAAGTACACTTTCCAAATAATGTTTCATGCACGTTACTATCCAATCTTGTATCGAAAACTAACATTATGTGCATTCGGATCACGTAGCGGAATTGCTACGGATCCATTACAGTTTGGAAAAAAGAAGTCTAATGTTCCCACCTCGACCTTCTTGGACGAATACATAGGTACGATCCTTACGAACGCCTGTTTCGAAAAGTTATTGACTATTGTTTCTACGTGTAAATTGTCATTCGCAATAATACTTGAGTCCAAACTATCTTAGGATGACTAATCGGGATGCACTTGGAGGATTGCACAATGGGAGTAGATGAGTTTCCTCCCAATAAAAGGTCTGTCAAGAAGGTTTCTTCTTCTGACATCGTCCTAGCTGATAACGAATAAGCGGTGCAGTCGAAAAAGTGTCGATCATTACACATTCGAATACCAGGTGCATCGACCCGGACTCCGTTCACTAGGAGTGGTAGGAAAATGGTTAAAAACATTAATTAATGTTGCCTGTTTATTTTATTTCATTTTATTTGAGAAAAAAAAAAATTTGTCACCTTGTTTTGATGTATAAGTCACTATTGTCAATCTAGGATATTATGCTGTTGAGTAATGTTATTCATCCCCAGTGGGGATGGTGACACGGTCTATGTGTCTTTAAATGATAGTTTAACGTCTTTAAATGATAGTTTAACGACAACTATTTAGTTTTAACGTCAAAAAAAGTAATGCTATAGTACACCTCGAACACGTCTTCATAACCCCGAATGGAAAAGTCTTTTATTTATATTGATGGTGTTGCATTTTGACAATATAATTACGTAAACCAACTACCTGATAACAATGAGTGCAATAAAAAATAGTACGACTGTTAGATGAACATTTTCTTAATGAAGCTGCTACTTTATTTGTTAAAATGAATATCAAAAATCTTCACACATCACACCAACGTCAATCATGAATTAGCTTCATTTATATTGTGGTTGT